AATGAAAAATTAGATCGGTCTCGGGTCCAGGTCTTACCATGAGTACTACGGTAATAGCTTATTCCCTATATGGGAAATTCGCTAAAAGGAAAAAAAAATATTTTGTGTACAAATTTAAGGAATTTCACTATATCTCCCGCCGTCACGGGATCGAGACCTTTAATTTGAGCCCTCTCCCGTCATTCTACGACTTTCCAGTCGCCCACAATTTTGACGCAAAGAATCGGCTTACGTATTAATATAGCCTATAGATTTAGAATATAGATATACAGTAGATAGTTAATAAAAACAAATTTTGAAAAAAAACTAGAAACAAGTTTTTGGCTTAAGCGGGTCTTGAACCTGGTACCTTCGCCTTTTGTGCCTCATACCTTACCTCTGAGCTATCTGTGCTTGATGATTATGCGAGTTTTCAAGTGGTCAAAGAGTAGCTCAGTTGCAATGGTCGCAATACTTAAAATATTTTTTATACTACAGTATATAATATGATTCTGTTAATCTGTTTAGGCCTCAAGTAGTTGAATTATTTTTCTGGTAGTTGGAGAGGATACTGGTATTTGAATATAGATTATTTAATTACCATTAGATTAGTACTGTTAATTTATTTTTATATGATTAAAATTAGTTTTAGATTATTTTATTAATTTTAAGTTAGAATTAAATACACATTTCACACAACTATGATAGAACCCTAGTTTTCCTGAACTCAGTGGTAGTAGTTTTTTCCTCAGTTTGTTACCGGGACATTACAGGATAACCAGTGGATTTTGTACATATCTCGGGATGTCATGGGACATTCTGGGATATCCCATGGCATTCGTACATATCCCGGGACTTTACAGGATATCCTGCGGTTAACTTACAAATCCCAGGATATTACGGTATATTGTAGGATATCCTGTGGATTTCGTACTCGTCCCGGGATTTTGCAGGATATCCTGAGGCTAGCGTACATATCCCGAGACATTCTCAGGACATATGGGACTACTATGGGATGTCCCTGGGATAAAGTGTGCTGTCTGGGAACAACGAAGCTATACAAGCGGATTTTTTAATGTACATTCCTGGACTGTATGCTTGACAATGGCAGCTCGCCGAAACATGTAGCATCTACGAAAGTTACAATTTGGAACTGACGACAGGTAATATAAAACCAATATTAATTAGTCATTATTATCAGTTCCGGGGCTACTACAATAAATTTTAATACATTGTTGTATACCTAACGGTTACGAAAAAAATCCCAAATAAATGTAAATTTAAAATTACCATGTTATTCTTAAGGAGAATAAACTAGGTTAGGTGTACAATGCAGTTGTCTGCTTGCATTATTGAGCAGAGCTAGCATTAATCCAATATATTTTTCTAAAGTCAATTGTACATATGTTCCTCGTAAAGCAGTATCAAATGTCAATGATATAGTTGGTTCACATAAATGGAATGACTATTTGCAGTACCTATTCAAAGTCAATTATATCATTATATCCTAAGTCTGGTCACGTAAAATAATTGTCTACTTGCAGGAACCAAAGCCTATGATTCACCTGGTTCTCAAATGTCTACTTGCAGTATCCAGTGGCAATGATACATTTGGTTCGCGTAAATAAAATGTCTATTTGCAGCATCCAAAGTCAATGGTACGCCTCTGGTTCACTTAAATGGAATGTCTATTTACGGGTTCTAAAGTAAATGGTACGTCTGGTTCACGTAAACTAATTGTGTACTTGCAGTATCTAAACTTAATATTACATTTTGGTTCACGTAAATTGTACGGGGGCAATATAATATTAAATCTATTAAATTCAACAGCAGGCATGAATGAGTCTGTGGCGCTGGTGTGAATGGGATTTTTTTAGGATTACTAAGTTTAATTTCTTCATGATTACTTATTTAATGTAGCACTTTAGATGATTTATATTTACTTGTATAAGTGAATAAGTTTTTATTTATTTATGTTTTAGAGGCTAAGTGGTAGAGAGGACTTACAAGTCCTCCCAGGTAACAAGTAAGCTTACGGCAAGCCTTTCCTTTTGTTTGAATCAAAAAGCTTATCACAACAATAATTAATTCATGATTGTGACAATCTCACCTCTGATAAGCTTGTGATGTCACTTGTCACAACCTTAATTTGCTTTCTGGGATGGATCTGCAAGTAGACTGTTCATTTACGTGAACCAGATTATTTAATGTAAAAAGTTATATGTATGTTTATTTTTTCTGAAAAAATGAATTGAATGGAATTGAATTACAACCAAATTTACCATTGAGTTTGGATACTGCAAATGGGTATTTTATTTATGCGAATCAAATGTATCATTGACATTGAATACTGCAAATAGACGTTCCATTTAAGTGAACCAGAAGTAATTAGCCTACCATTAGCTTTGGATACTACAAACAGGCAACTTATTTACGTAAACCAAATAATGGATCATTATTAACTTTGGATACTGCAAGTAGATTTTTCATTTATGTGTTGCAGGTGTGCCGTTGATTTAGGAGACTGGAAGAAGACTATTTATGAAATAAAATGAAATGAAAATGTTTTTATTTAAGAGGCGAAATTAGCCCAGGTGGGAGAAATAACTTGAGAAAAGTGTTTCAGAAACTTGCCATGGCAAGCTAGAAACACTTGCTTAAAGTTTTCTTTGACAAGCAACCAAACTAGTGGCAAGTGTGAGGCAAGCTTTCTAGTTCCCTTCTTAAACACTTGACTTACGCTTTTCTTGGCAAGTTTGTGAAAACTTGAACACCACAGATTTCTGAAAGCTTTGCTGGCAAGTATAATGAATGCCTTAAATAAACATTTGAGACAAACTTATCCTGAAAAGCTTTGGGTAAACTAGTCAGGCAAGCCTAGCGGTCGGTTAAATTTATTAATAAGTTTTAATATGACGTACTGAACGGTATGACTTGATTTACGAATGTGACTTATACACATTTTTTTAAAGGTGAACAAAAAAGTATATAAATTAGGTAAAAAAAACATTTGTATAATTAAGTTACAGTAGTAAATTTGCATTTGCGGTTTTAAATTGCAAAGAAACATCTCCTAATGTGTCTGGCCGATGCTTGATGTTGCTGCTCTCTGTGAATCAATAGGGAAAGTAAAAATTAACTATACTAGGTGGCGTTCGCAGAGACATCCAAAAAAGTGAGCGGAGGCATCAAGGGTTCATATTATATTGTTTTTGTCATACTGCAGTAAAAATAGTCGTTTTGAACGCATGCGTTGAGGGTCTAAAGTAGTATTTTTACTCTTTAGGGAGTAAAAATCGTTTTTAGCCTCTATGGAGTAAAAATCAGCTATTGTCAACTCAGTTGTAAATTTATATTGTAAACGAATAAGTATTGCAAACACTGTTACACAACTGCACTGCAGTTCGCGCCGTTCGCGGCCCACAGGCTATCTGTTAGGCTTCAGTATTCTGCTGTGGTGGTAAGGTCAAACTTCAATATTATATAGTTGACATTTTTACCAGAATTGAAGGTGAATGTCTCGGTTTCATTCATAGGGAAGAGTCAAAACTTCGAGCGGTGCTATACACGAACCTTCATGATGATATCTGAGGTTCATTGTTGTTGACTGAGATTTTGCTGATTTGCCCATACAAATAACATTGTGTTCACCAGTGATACCGGTAAGTAGGCTAGGTGCGGGTGGACTCTACCATTATTGCGCTCACGTTCACTCATCCCGTTACGCGCAGAAAGCGTACTACTAGTAGCCTAGAGCATGAGAGTTGCAACTGCCAGTTAGAACCGTATTGGTTAGAGAAATTGCAAGATAGTAAAAAATTCATCAAGGTTTTAACTTGCAATTGGAACCTTTTAGCCCCTTAGTTCCTTAACAATATAGATGGATAGAACCTTATTGATTCAGCAACTGTAATTGGTTCACCGAGTTTTTGTAATAAATACAAATAATACAATTGTGTCTTAAGATATATATAGCTTGGATATAGCTTATAGCTTGGACTCAATATAACCTCAACAAACCAAAACCCTGTGATTACGCAACAGAGAACTCAGAACCACTGTCGTCAGTTAGAACCTTACAGCCCACAGATTAACTGTGATACAGAGCAAGAAGGTTGCATCAGTTTTTAGTTACAACCATAATGCATCTATAGGAATGTTATTTGGCAGATACATCTTCTATTTTTTCCTTTTTTTAAGAAAACTAGTTGCCATAGAGGTATAACACTCGTGAAAACATATGTAGAATGTCAGTTGGAACCATATGACACCAAAATCTCATTTTCACCAAAATTGTCAGTTAGAACGCTATTGTTTTGGACCCATGCCTTGTGGTCCGATTTGTACCATTTTAGATTTATTCCTCCCATGGTTGGTTACTATGATTGTGCTTAATTTGGCGCAGATCGCTTCAGCCGTTCAGGAGGAGTATTTGTAAAACAAAAGCAGGAGTGTTGTATAAGAGCTCCGCTTCGCTCCGCTCAATAAATTGTTGTAGCTTGCTTGTCTATATACACATTTTAATGACATTTTGTTTATTTCATACTAAGGCTGGTAGGTTTGCTGCAGCGGGGGTATTTTTCTAGTATTCGTGATTATGTGGAACTAGGTGAAACCCGTCGAAATCGACGGTTACTTTCAAGGATCACAATAATTCTTCTAACTGCAATAAATAGAGTTCTAACAACTCATGACGCAAAATATCTTGACATTTGACAAATTTCACTACTGAAGTAAGATTTATTCAACAGCTGGGTTAGTAAATTTTCTTTATAAGAAATGCATTGGGATTTTGATAGCCTTTGGGGCAAAGCCCGAGGAATTTTATTACAGGAATTGGTGAAAGGAGGCGTGTACACAAAAAATACATAATTTTGACACATCGTTTGTAAAAATCTGTCTATTATTAACGGAGGAGTAGTGTTTCGTAGAAATTGCCTTCACGTATACATTTCTCTCCGTAGTCTGAGCAGCTGATACAGTTTAACAAACAAAATGTTGGTCAAGATCACGTTATGTGTTCTAGTTTGTTTTAGTTGCTTACCAAACTATAAAACTTCTCGTTTCATTCCTGATGTGAATATGACTGCCCCTTTTACTGTGATAGTGTTGTGCAACAACAGCAAGTACTTCTGCTCTGGGGTTGTAGTAGATCTGTTATGGGTGTTAACCGCCGCTCACTGCTTTCACGACTTGGTGGGGAAACTAACAGAAAACGACAGTTCGGTTATGGTACTACTAAATTATATTTTGAGTAATTTTAGATTAGACCTAAATCAAAAGTAGCGAATCAGTAGTTCCAATTTGTACACAATATTAAGCAAACATTTTCAGAGTGAAAATAAACTCCTGAATTGCAATGTAAAATTAGCTGAAATGTATCAATATTAAAAAATTGCACACGAGTTGTTAAAACAATGATCCACATATTAAATTAAAACAAAACTAATGTTTCCCTAAAACAACCTAAAGAAAAACATGGAGACGACCTCTTTCTAAGACCTGCAAAATTCAGTGTATGATCTCAGCACCTTATTAGCTCTCTCAACCTTCAGTGTATGACCCATGCACCCTAACTCCCCCGTCTTTCTGTCACACACCTTGACTCTTTCGACCTTCCCAGTGTATGATACATGCATCTTAACTTCACCGTCTTTCTGTGTACGAATAAAACACTTTGACTCTCTCGACCTTTAGTGTATGGTACATGCATCTTAACTCCACTGTCTTTCTGTGTACGAATCATACACCTTGACTCTCTCGACCTTCAGTGTATGATACATGCATCTTAACTTCACCGTCTTTCTGTGTACGAATAAAACACTTTGACTCTCTCGACCTTTAGTGTATGATACATGCATCTTAACTCCACTGTCTTTCTGTGTACGAATCATACACCTTGACTATCTCGACCTTCAGTGTATGATACATGCACCTTAACTTCCCCGTCTTTCTGTGCACGAATCATACACCTTGACTCTCTCGACCTTCAGTGTATGATACATGCACCTTAACTTCCCCGTCTTTCTGTGCACGAATCATACACCTTGACTCTCTCGACCTTCAGTGTATGATACATGCACCTTAACTTCCCCGTCTTTCTGTGCACGAATCATACACCTTGACTCTCTCGACCTTCAGTGTATGATACATGCATCTTAACTTCACCGTCTTTCTGTGTACGAATAAAACACTTTGACTCTCTCGACCTTTAGTGTATGATACATGCATCTTAACTCCACTGTCTTTCTGTGTACGAATCATACACCTTGACTATCTCGACCTTCAGTGTATGATACATGCACCTTAACTTCCCCGTCTTTCTGTGCACGAATCATACACCTTGACTCTCTCGACCTTCAGTGTATGATACATGCACCTTAACTTCCTCGTCTTTCTGTGTGACTGGGACGGGTGGCGTCGTCATGTAATCCAGCTACTAGGAGGTCACAAATTGTCGATATTTATAGGCATGTACTAAGCATGTGATACTCCCTGGTGTGGATTAACGTCCGCACTAGTGAGTACTACGACTATCCGCAGTACCATCCTGATAATTAGACCAATTCGTATATACCAAGGCAAAAATGTGGTTCGGATTCCACTATAAACTGTAGGTCCCTTAGTTGCCATTAGCTGTATGGGCTATTAATTAACAACTGTGTCAAAGGAATATGTCGGCCTTAGTCGCTAACAAGACTACAAGATCGCGCCACTCATCCTACACTCATCTCCATTCATAATTGGCTTAAAATACCTACTTTGTATGGTCGCCATTTCATTGAACAGTAACAGTAACAGTAAAACACCTTGACGCTCTCGACCTTCAGTGTATGATACATGCATCTTAACTCCACTGCCTTTCTGTGTACGAATCATACACCTTGACTCTCTCGACCTTCAGTGTATGATACATGCATTTAGGTCTGGCAACTATCGGTCTGGCAACTATGTAACTTCACCATCTTTCTGTGTACGATCCATACACCTTGGCTCTCTCTACCTTCAGTGTTCGACCCACGCACCTTAACTCTCCCGTATTTCTGTATACGAATCATACACATTAACTCTCTTGACCTTCAGTGTATGACACATGCATCTTAACTTCACCTTCTTTCTGTGTATTAATCATATACCTTGACTCCCTCGATCTTCAGTGTATGATTCATGCCTCTTAACTTCCCCGTCTTTCTGTGTACGAATCATACACCTTGACTCTCTTGACCTTCAGTGTACGATCGATGGACTATACTTCTCTCGACATTCAGAGTATGGTCTATGTAACTTAGCTCTCACGACCTTCTATGTATATTCCATGCACTTTAACTCTCTCGACCTCCAGTGAATGCCCGATGCACCTTATCTCTCCCTCTCCTGGCATACAGTGGATGATCTATGCAGTTCTCTCAACCTATAGTGTACCTTTGCTCTCTCAACATTCAGATTACGATCTATGAATATTTCGCTCTCTCCACCTTCAGTAAAACTGAATAGGCAATCGTCCCGGGCTATGTTTTGTTATAAGACCTACTGTAATAGCAGCTTGTTCTATGCGCCTTATCTCTCTTAAGATTTACTGTTTGGTCCATGAAACACATAACTCTCTCAGTCTTCAGTTTATGATATATGTACCTCTGCTCTCTCCACCTTCAGTCTAGGCCCGCCGCACATTGGAGCGAGGCGAGGTGCAGGCTAGGTGCAGGTGAGGTACAGGCGAGGCGCGGCTATTCTGCAATACACGTGTTTATATGGAGCACCGCACATTGAGCCTCTGTCAGGCCTCCGTGGCGTTGTAGTTGGAATACACCTCGTGTAGTTGTAGTTTTCCTGCACCTCGCTCGCGCTTGCGTTGGTTTTCTAGTGTTTTGTGAGTGAAAGAGTGAAAGATATAGTAATGTAGCATTTAATTCAGATGGCTATATTTTGCTGAGAATTGCACTCCTTTCCATTAATGTCACTTTCAATCAACTTATGGATATCGTCAAACTGTTGTTTGTTCACACGAAAATATTCTCTAAAAGACCGGTCTGGTAGTTCAATAGTTAAAAAATACTCTCCGTGGCTTGATATTTTTTCGTGTGCGGTAATCACATTTACCAAAACGGTTTTTACATTTTTTGGTTAGCGAATAGAATAGAGTAAAACTAAATTTTAAACTCACAATCAGAATCACCAAAGGTCCGAAAAATCTTCCTCCTACTCGCGACAGAAGGGCCAAAGCTAGGAAACCTCTGTCCCGCCTCGCTTCAATGTGCGGTGACACGAAAAAGTCTTCGCTCCAGCCTGCACCTAGCCTGCATCTCGCCTGCACCTCGCCTCGCTTCAATGTGCGGCAGGCCAATGCACCTCAGCCCTCCACCTTCAGTGAATGATATATGCACCTTACCTCTCTTGACCTTTGTATGATCCATGCACCTAAGCTCTTTCGACTATCTGTATAAAATCCATGCATCTTAGCTCCCTTGACATTTAATGTAAGATCCCTGCACTTAAGCTCATATCGTCCTTATCATAATCTTTGCAATATAGCACTCTCATACTTCATTATAGGTACTATGATATGAATCTCACCTCTCTCGGCCGTCAATGTTTGATGTATGCACTTCTTCGTCTTTCTAAGTGCGAATCGTACACCTTGACTGTCTCGACCTTCAGTGTACGATCCATGGACTATACCTCTCTCGACATTCAGTGTATGATCCATGTAACTTATCTCTCTTCACCTATGTGCATGCACCTATGATCTCTTAACCTTAAATGTATGATGTATGCACCTCAGGTCTCTCCACTTTCAGCGTATGATCCATGCATCTTAACTATTATTATATCAAATAAGCAATGATGTGAAATATATAATATGCATGTATCAAGTTTTGTTTAAAACTTAATTATGAAAATGTAAACAAGTTATTTATAAGTTGAGAATCTGCTATGGCAATCCAAATTATATAATTTAATACCTACTATTGAAATGGTGACCATACAAAAACGATGGTTAAAATTGAATAACATAAGTGTAAATCTTTTCTATAATTGTTTTCAAGAATATTAAAATATCCGAAATTATGATAAATTGTATAGTCTTTACAACAGCAAAACGTTTGAGGATAGTTATGACAACGATTACTTGTATAATATTATCTCCAGGTGTCCCGTCAATCTTTTCCCCTATTTTTTTTATATTGAGATAATGCTGTGTAGCTACTTGGAAAACTTACTTGAAATAACTACCGGTATCAATAATTATATCAAACTTTCCGTCACTATGAACTACATTTTGAATTATGTACTGACTTTTCAGATTATTGCTGGGACTGAAAGATTAAGTGATGCCGTTGTAGATATAGAATCAGGTAAGTATCTACGTAAATCGTATAACATGTATTCAACATCGTAATAGGCCTACCAATTATTTTAGCAAATTTCCCATTAGTGAATAAACTATTTAAAAACTCACACTAGTTCATTTAAATTGGTTTGTAGTTCTAAACAAATCCTGAAAAATATATATATATATAGTTTAATTTGTGTGTCCATGTGTATATGTGTGCCTGTTGGATCTTAACAACTCCCGTACTAGTAATCCCAATCGATGAAATTTGGTACAAACGTATAAACTTACCTTTATTCAAACGAGTTCGCGAATCAGCACGATATGACAATGGAAACAGGATTTTTTTTTGGGGGGGGGGGTTATGGGGGAAAAATGCGGGTTTCCATTTTGGACCCTTAAAACATAAAACTTTGTAAATTCTTCGAAAACCATTTTGTAAATAGCAAACCTGAGGAATAAATCTGAAACTTGTATGATTTAATTGGAAATTACTAATATGATAAAAAAATCTAATACAGTATATAATAATAAAATAAAATAAGTAAGAGTTAAGTTCAAGCTACCCTATGTTTTTGCAGATTTTATGAACACATAAAATTATGACATAACACTTTTGACTATAATGATGCAACTACTTTTGTTGATTACTATTTCATTTTTTTCTTCCTATCCAGCAAAAAAAAAATTGTAAAAATATAACTTCTTTTCTAAAAATGATTACCTATTTGCAACAATCTGGGATCAAATAGTATCTAAGAGTTATCATACTACATTCAGCTAACTTTAAAGTCAATCGGACTACGTTGTCCCATTATGCGTTACAAAGAATAATCTGCTTGTAATCAAGTAAACCGCTTGGTGATCTAACGATTGGGGACAATGATAAGCATTGGGCGCCATTTTAACTACGGCAGGTGTCCTTTCAGTAGCTAGCAGGAAGCGAAGAATTCATATGTCTTGACGTGTAATAGAAAATTAACTAACTTGCCTAATAACTATGTCGTTGGTTCCTGTGGATAAATTCCTTTAAATTAGTCTCCTCAAGTTTACTAGGTGTGCAGTGCTGTACACCGAGGTGTACACTCTGCAATACTGAGCCGAGAAACCATATTATGTAATCCAGTAATCGTAATCCAATATTTTTGAGAAATGTAACCATGAATTCTTTGTTCCCAATTGACTTGGACTTACAAATATAAGATGTCTATTTACAGTATCCAAGGTCAATGGTACAGCTGGTTCAAGTCAATAGGATATCAACTTGGTGTATCTAAAGTCAACTGTGCATATGGTTCTCATAAATAATGGAAGTTATCCTTAGGCGGGTTACACACCGGTATCGCAGACATAATGTTGCCGATATTTATGATGTCGCGGGCATAATGTCTGCGACATATAATAAAATACAACCATGGGAAGAGGCACGTGCTGGCGACATGAAAGGGAAGGAATCACAACATTCATCAGTTTAAATAATGTCATCGTCAGAAGAAGATAATGCGTTGTTGCTGTTGTTCTTTCTACAAAATATTAAAGATAACTTCATGGTAATTTTTCCAAAATACATTGTAATTAATTGTATTACAGTACTTACGTAATTTCCTTATGGTGTCAATTGAAGTATTATAGTATCACAATACTACATTTCACACCATAAGGCAATTAAGTAAGTAAAAAAGAGCCAAAACTACTAGAAACGTGTTGTGCGCATGCGTGGGCCCAAGAGACAAGAGACATGTCTGTCCAAACACCGACTTAGCAGTATCATACACCTGGTTCACTTAAACGTACCGTACTTACTTATAAGTAGGATGTCTTGCCCACTCACATGGCAATCGAACCCCTAGGTGGTATTTTTTGGCCTCGCCAACTAAATGCCTTCACTTCTTTCAATTCTTTTGGACACTTCATCTCTAATCATGTTTGGATTGCCGAGGAGGCCTTCTTCCAATTAGGGGTTTCTTTCCTCATCTGCTTTATCAGTGCAGTATAATTAGTACATCTGGCTTACATAATTGGGATGCCTATTTGCAGTATCTAAAATCAATTGTGCTTTAATTGGTTATTTATTTTGTTGTATTTAATGCTCAACGTTATTAATCCGAATATTCTGTATTAGTAATGTGCTTGAATAAATTGAGTGTCAATAAACATATGTTATGAGTCTTTATTTACGCTTTTATCGTTATTATGCAAGCCGTCAGCTGAATTTTTATTCCAGGATTAGTTTTGCCAATAGTGTCATTTGGAGGCTTCTGATTTTTTTTTTTTTAAGAGGTTGGCGGCCTCTTTTAACCTTGCATTTGCCCGTCCACATAGACTACAGATCTGTGCGTGGAACGTATCCAGCAAAGCAAGGGGTGAGCCGGTACAGTACAAAGGTGAACTGTACTGATAAAAGTTAGTGGCAGTGACCAGGATCCGAACCCACGACACTACTGCCTTGGGCCCGAAGTCCGCGACGCAACCGACTGAGCCACCGACTCACCAACAGATTGGCTTCTAAGAGATTGGCTTCTAGATTGGCTTAGTTTCTGATTGGCTGAGGAAACACCATTAGCGCAACGAAACGATGGGATGACATCGGCCTTGGTGGTCTAGTGGATAGCGTGCCGAACTGGTTATCTGATGTTACCTGCTTCTAATCTCACTGATAGCATTAACTTTTTGTCTTAGATTTTTTCATTATCAGGAAGTTTGGTTAGTTTAGTTTGGTTATGACAGTTTAGTTATATAATAAAAAAAAATAAAAAAATTGAGGCATTTATATTTTATTTTATGATCAGAACTATTTGTTTTATTAGTAAACCTTCATTATAGTCAATCAGAAGCAACCAAATAACCAAATGACACTGCTGGCAAAACTAATCCTGAAATAAAGATTGTGCAAACACATGACATGGTGACTAATCATACTTACTTCATACTTCTTCCCTTCATCTTTGACCAGTGATACTGGATAGATGGCGTCAGTAATACTTTTAAAACTAATATTTAGGAACTGTACAGAACAATAATTTAAATATTAAAAAAAAAAACTGTACACTATTTACACTTTTTGTGTTGTATGTTTGGCGGCAGGTCTTTACCAAGCTAGGCTTTAGATATTTTGGGTCTCTGCTTTATAATACTCCTCAATGGAGTAGAAAGGAATTTTCTTCAACTATCGTTCCACCCGAGTCCTGAACTTCCCGACCTCCAGATTTCTCACACTAGTTGGGAGCGTGTTGAAGAGTTTTAGTGCCAGGACTGGGAAGCATTCCTTCTTTCTACTCAGCCTACAATAAGGGATATCAATCTTTTCCCTCCCTCGGGTGTATACGGGTGCAGGTCCCCTCTCATAGTAAGTGAAGATAGGTTTTCCTTGACATAAAGTAGGCTAAGTAGAATGTATTGGCTAAACACGGTGCAGACTTCGAGTTTTATAAATATAGGTTTGCAGTGGTCTAGAAAACCAGCCGAGTCTATGATTCTCAAGGCTTTTTTCTGCTCGAGTAGGATATTATTGCATCCCGATACGTGTCCCCACCATGGCCCCCACATTTAATTGTGGGCCCTGTTACCAGGATCTGGCTCGGGCCCCCTACTAACCGGGTGGTCGGGGGGGTATGGAATACCCCCCAGCCTAGAGGGGGGTCCGGGGGTTCTCCCCCGGAAAAATTTTGAAAATGTCATGTATTTTAGTGAGTTTTTAAGGCAATCTAGGTATTAAATTTGTGAGTGGTAAATGGCACTTTTGCAGCCTTTTTTAAGGAAGAAAAGAGTTCTTCAATGAGTTTTATAAGACTTAAAATTACAGGAATTCAGCAATTAAAACTATTATATCAATACACAAAAGCTCCATATTAATATTTTGCCTATTAATATTTTGTCTTTTTTATTTCCCTGTAAAAGGGTTTGGCTATCTTAACTGCTATAATTGTACTTTGTAATATGGAGTAGAAAAAAAACTTACGTAAATCGAGTTTAACAGCTTACACCAATGAAATCATATTTTATTCAGTGACAATTTTCATAAAGAATTTTAACAATACTACATTTTTTGGGATTGGAAGTTTGAGCTGCCGAACTTGCGCGAGTAGTCACGGAGAAAAACGAATGTGCACGAGTAATGCCGAGAATGACCGATGCTGTCGATGCCGGTGCTATCCAATCCATGCTTTAGTACAGTATTATACCGAGCGAATTGGGAAGAAAACTTAGGTCAAAATTATTACAATCTTACTAATATTATCTTTCATAGGCCTATTTTTAAAACTCAAAAAGTAAATAATTTTTAAGTTTGTGTCAAATAACCTAGATTGCAATTATTAATTGAAATATTCCATACATAAAAGTGCAACCGAAGAGGGACCAAATGTTGATAAAACGGGACAAATAAGCGTCCCAAGAGGATTTGTCGGGACGGACCAGTCCCCCTAAAACGGGACGCCTGGTCACCTTAGCTATGGTACATAGTACATGTCAATTTTTCAATGCTTTACAAATTTTATTTTAACTTATAACTATAAGGATTCATTCTTGAAACTATCAGTTCAATTATAAAACCAAACGTTGTTTATTATGGGGGGAATGAGGTAGGAGTGCCTAGGCGCCTGGCGGGAGGAAGGGGTAGAGGGAGTTTGTGGAGCCGGCCACTGGGGCCCGAGCTTGCTGTTCTGCTGTTGTATAGTACATACGCACCTATAGTATTTAAATGTAAACTACCTTAAAATCTAGAATTAATACATTTTAAATTATTTAACTTTGTTTTTTGTAAAATATATATTATTTTTATCTTCAATTTATGATCTGCTGTAAAGTGATCTTCAATGGGGAAAAAAGAAAAAAAGAAAAAAATGGGTAGGCCCGGGCCCCCTGAGGCCCGGGCCCTGTGACCAGAGTTGCACCAGCCCCACCCTTGTGGGGGCCATGGTCCCCACAGCTGAAGCCCATACATAATATGACTGTGAAACTGAAACAGTGCATAATATATCATTAATAGGTGCCCCTTAGATAGTAGTGGCTTTAGGCGCCTGAGGAGACGTGTTACTTTTGCTAGTTTTAGGCAGATGTTAGCCGTGTGACTGTTCCAGCTTAATTTAGCATCAAGGGTAAAACCCAGTAACTTTACTTCCGGAGAAGTTGATGATTGGCTTAAAATGAGGCTACATACAATTTCTTGTGTCTTATCTTCGTTTAAGCTCAGCTTATTGTCGAGGAACCACTGTTTGGCCTCAACACATTTTCCTGTTACCGATTCCTGGGCCAAGTCAGGTGTTTTGCCTCTTGCAAAAAAGGTGGTGTCGTCTGCGAATAGTAGTACTGTATGACTCCCTGCACACCTAGGTCATTAATCAAGACCAAGAAGAGAAACGGTCCAATGACCGAACCTTTGGGCACTCCATGGTTGACGGGTTGAGGGGAAGAGTTCACTCCATTCAGGGTGAGGATTTGTTTCCTATGTGCCAGGTAGGATGCGAAGGTGGAAAGCACCTCACCACAGACTCCGTAAGCTTTCAGTTTTTCGACAAGCAGGGCATGAGGGACGCAGTCGAAAGCTTTGCTTAGGTCCGCGAGAGCCAGAGCCAGAGATTCATTAGCCTCGAAAGCCATCAACCAATAAGGTCCATTTTGAATTTCTAAAAATACAAACTAGCTGTTACCTTTGACTATCAATACAACAGTATCCAATAGTCAATGCTGTTACCCACGGGCTTCATCCCGTTTGGCTTCATAAGTATTAATAAAACTATTGACTGGTTAAGTTAAGCTCAAATAAACAAAACAGAATACAGTAATACAAACAAATAATCGCACCTGATTTTAATAGGGTAAAAAAATTGAAAGAATAACATACAGATAAGTACGGCTGAGGTATTTTTTACATTATGTACTTGGAAAGCTATCTTTTAGAAAGGAATTATGACCTTAAAGGACAATTTATGAAATAATGGATTTTTGCGTAAGGTTTCTCGTCATGACGAACATTTTAAGTATATGGTTTATGGGGGTGTGACTTGTAGTTTTCTCACAAGTTCATGGGTACCTTGGGATTTATATATGGGTTCATGTAGGGGGAACCCTTGTTGTCCGATTTGTACAATTTTAGATTAATGCCTTAACATAGTTGGTTATACTATGACTGTGCTACCTTTCATCCGGGCTGCTTCAGCCGTCCTGGAGGAGTATTTGAAAAACAAAAGCAAGGGTGCGGTATAAGAGCTTCGCTCACTCCGCTCTATAATTTCATAAAAACCCATTGTGGATTTTATGTTTTTACGTGTGTTTGTCTTTCAGGAAAAGCTCAAATCAGAAGAAGCAAGAGAGTTGTGATATACGATTTGTACAGTTGGGATCAGAACTTTGTCAATGACATTGCTCTTATTGAGGTACGAAATTAAATCTTTCGAAGCCATCTTATATTATCAAGGTAATACAGTCACATTGGTGATCGTCGTTTAAGGCTATTAACCAGATAAAAATAAAGACATGTGGCATATGACACATCAAAATGAAGCTTAGAGTGTGTAGATTTTCCTAAGTATTGTTATGAATGATTCCCAAAGAGGGCTCTGCCCCACTGGCCAATCTTCGAAGAGCTATGCCTTATATTCTTTGAAGGTTAATTATTTAATGATTAAATTAAAAATAGCTGGTTGATGCATTTAACTGGTGTTAGCTTATTTACTTGAAAGTGTTTGTTAGAGCTATATTTACATGGTGGGAATGTGTGAGTGTTTTTTTTAGTAAGATGGTTATATTTAGGTAAAGAAAAAACCTTGTAGTAAAAACCTTGTAGAATTCTGCTCATAGTTTTCTTTATAGTCTATATAATAAGCAACAGTTAAAGAGGTTTGGATACAATTTTATAATTAGGGTAGAATAACCTTTTTATGTGCCTATTATATATATAGATATACATATATACATTCTTTTAAACATTGTAAGAGACATGGCATCGATGGCATATATTATATAACTTCAAAGTGGGATTTCCGCATGTTTTATGGGAAAAAAGAAAAACGACTAAAATGAATAAGGAATCAAGTAAGGCTTGACATAGATCTTATTTTTAAATTTTTAAAAGTACTGCAGTATCAGTGGCGGTTCTAGGACCTTGTCAAGGGGGGGGGGCTACCGGGGGGTTTGAGGGTTGTGGAGCACCCCCAATAAAGCAAGGGGGTCCGGGGGTCCTCCACCGGGAATTTTTCAAAGCTGTTTGGTGACTTTCTAAAGCCATTTTTAACACCTAAATCCGTGCCCAATTGTTCATAAACGCCCATTTCACCTGTTGTTTGTCATGAGCAAAAATACATATAAAAAATTAAACTGACGATTGCATTAATGAATTTCAAAACACACAGTAGACTACCTACTACTACAGTAGACTACCACAGAAAAACTACTTGATAGTTCAGGGGAGGGGGTTATTAATGTAAAAGGCCACTTTTCGAAAAGGGTGCAAAACCTATAATCGTGCCAAATTGCAGATCTCCAATTAATATAAAAGTTGGTAAACGTGATTTAGACCGATGGACCTGTCGTGGCTATGGAATAAATATAAGGGGGGGAATTGATTTTGGAGAGGAGGAATTTTAATATGGTCCTTTTTATATTCATACCTTGGTGTTAGATCTAATACAATAAACCGCGAATAGTTGCAATACCCTTGCACCCATAGGGTAAAGAAACTGTTATATCCTCGTAAAAGATGTTCACATTTTTATATTAAACTTAAATTTTGAGGGTCAAGGTGTAGGGTTATGACATAACATGTAAAGACTAAAATTTAAAGTAAACTAAGGAAAATACAAAGCATTAATAATATTTGAAAAAGAAAATACTCTGGGAGGAATAAGTAGTGAAAACCATAAAAATGTGTAAGGAATTTACCAATTTTTGAAAGTATGGCATTTTTTGGGGGTGAAGGGGTGTTATTTTCGGGAAATGCTTAAATGGTTTTGTAGAAAACTGAACATGAAAATTCTTTCAAATCTTTGCTAGCTCTTACCGTTTTTGAGTTATAGCCGTTTAAAAAAACGTGTTTTGTCCTTTTCAGATGTCCGCCATTTTGGATTTTTGGGAGGGTTAAAATATAATAATGGTACTTTTGAAAATTTTACGTTAATTTATGATCACGTACTACAATGCGGCAAAATTTAAAGTCTCTAGCACGTTTCTAAATGGTTTAAATGAGCATACCAAAGTCTGAAACTTTCAATGTTATTTCCCACTAGCAGAATACCCGTCCTTCGTACGGGGTTTGCGTATAAGTATAAAATGCCTATTGCAGTTATACTCATGATTTGTGTTTGCATTGGAAGAGGACATGGTTTGAGAAAATTTGATTCTTTTAATTTACGGAAGCTATAGTATAACACATATACCATAGCAATAATGTTCTACCACTACACCTAAACAATAAAAAAGTAAATTTTTGATTATCCGCACAGTATCAAAACATTATTTATTTATATATTTAAAACATAAACTTAACTGTAAACAATCGTACTTTAACAGTTCTCATTGTGCATCACAGCCTTCTGTTGAGGCTTGGTTCAAATTAGCTATGTTGTCATGAATGAAAAATCAAATAATAGTGCTACACCCTGTCGGTGAACCTTATAACTTTTAATAGTATTGAATATCATAGAACAAATTGTGCAATTGAAACAGCTGACAAAATCCTTTAATCCCTTTTAAATATGGATACTCATAAGGTTAACATTGGAAACTCCAGAGCCACTGGAGCGGAGCCCGAAAGGATTTTTGAGATAAGAATATGTCTATATGTTAATCGGGAATGTGAGCTATCATCATACCAAATTTCAACTCAATCCGACCAGTAGTTAAAGCGTGATTGAACTTCAAACAAACAAACAAACAAATAAACAAACACACAAACTTTCACATTTATAATATTACTAGCTGTAACCCGCGGGCTTTGCCCCGTTTAACTTCTTAATTTTCAAGATTATCTCGTTCGCATGGCTCAATCACGTCCTGGTTGAAGTTTGTTCGCTACGCTCACTCACCTTTAGGTTGGAGCTCGTTCGCTGAGCTCACTTGCCTTCAGGTTAGCTCGTTCGCTACGCTAACTCGCCTCCAGGTTGAAGTTCGTTCGCTACGCTCACTCACCTTAGTAAGATAATATAAGATAAGAATAACATGGGAGGGGAATTCAAAATTTTTTGGAAGGGTTAGTTCTTAATATGCTCGAAACGGCATTTTATTCCCCGCATGCTTATTCTCCATAAGATTAACATGGGTAATATTTTTAATCCATGAAGAAGGTTTAATTGGGGAAAATGGGGATTTTAAACCCAAGGTGCTTATTGCCGAAAAAACTGCAAAATTTCATAATTATAGCTTTTATATAAGTGGGTAAGTGGGTCCCCAAAGTCCAAAGACACAACTATCAAAATGGGGTTTTTTTTCAAGGGGTTAGAGTGAAGATAGGCGAAAGACGTAATGGAACCAAATGTACACAAAGTAGTATACGAAAAATTTATTTTTTAATTGAAGGGAATCTTCAAATTCGGGATTTTTGATTTAAACTAAAATCATAACCCAAACTTTGATGGTTTTGTAGGGTGAGTAAAAATAATAAAATTGGCTGAGAATAAACTTCGACATATGTTAAAAGAAATTAAAAGTCAAACTTGCCCAAAACGTTTTTAACCTTCTACGGGGCAGCCAACACCACCCAAAACAGGAAAAGTAAGGTAAAACTTCGGGTTCAAGTCTGAATTTTGATGTGAAGGAGTGAAGATAGAAAAGCATGTTAAAATACCAAGCTGTAGATCGTTGAAATTAGCGACTGGAAGTGCTCTCTGTTCTTCGATCAAACCGATAGTTGAGCCGTAACAGACATTTAAACAAAGAAATATGAGGAACAAATCCCAAAATGTGAAGTTTAGAGGAATATATAAGGGAGAAGGAGTGGAGACAGGGAAAACTTTAAGTTTTAGCTCGTCTGAATCTAAATGCAGTAAGTGCTCTCGGTTTTTCGTATAGACCATAGGTTTGACCGCAACGGGCGTTAAAAAAACCACTTTATTATAATTTTCTAAAATCTAAAATTTTGAATTTTGTTGGAGGGTTGAAATCCGAAAATGTCGCTTTAGGCAACTGTCCTGGCGATTTGAGACTAAGATCTAAAATCGTGCTAAGTTTCAACCCCTAAGGTATTCCGAAAACTTATTTTTAATGGTGCTCTCCGTTTCTTGATTAGAGCTACGGTTGAGCCGCAACAGACGTTTAAACAAAGAAACGTGAAGAAAAAATACCAAAATTTGATGTTTACAGCGAAATATAAGGGTGAAGGGTTGGAGATATAAAAAATATGTTACAAAATTGTAGCTTGTTTATAAATCTAAATACAGTAAGTGTTCTCAGTTTTTTTATTAGACCAACGGTTTAGCCACAACAAGCGAATTTTCTAATATCCGCCATTTTGAATTTTTTTGGGAGGGTTGAAATTTGAAAATTTCACATTTGGCAATTTTATGGGTGTTTTGGGACCAATACCTATAGTATAAGTTTTAAGTAAGTTTTATAATAAGTCTATAACTTTTGTACGAAACTTCTAGCTAACCTAGAAGTGTGTAAACATTGACCTACTTATTTCAAAATCTAAAACATGGGAAATAGATACAGACAGCAAGTATTATAGATTCAGAAACTAATCAAAACAAACGTTGTACTGAATGTGATATTACTTTCAAAAGTCATGCAAAATTCCTCAATCACTTGATCAAAGACCATTCTAAAAAATGTTATGATTCATTGACAACTCTTAGTCCACCTAAACACCCCGAATGCAGACCTCCCGATTATCTTTCAAAATATTTTGAAGTAAATCCAATACAATCCTCTGAAGATCAAGTACCATCTATATGGTTGCCTCGCTGGGAATATGATGACCTTATAAATGAGGCAATCCGATGCGATAGATCTTTAAAGAACAAGTGTAAAAAACTTGATACAAATGAACAAAAACAGTTTACAGAAACTTATTTCAACAGACTTGTTCAATGTGGAAAAATAAAAGATGCATCAAGAGTAGTAAACCAAAATATGGTAGGAGGAATCCTTAATTCTAACGATTATATTGGCGAATCCAACACTACAGTTTATGAATTATTAAAAGAAAAACATCCAGATCCAATAATTCCAAACAAAGATTTACTAAAACTACCTGAAACCATGAGTGAAGTTCCCAAACTAGAAAACACAGAAATAACAGCAGAGCATGTTGAGAAAGTAGCAAGACAACTTCATGGAAGTGGCGGGCCAGGAGGAAGCTCCTCAGAAAATTGGACGGATTTCTTGTTAAGACATGGAAAGAAAAGTGCGCTGCTGAGATCTTCAATAGCCTCTTTAGCCATGAAAATGAATGGAGAAATAATACCTTGGTATAAAATAAGAGCCTTAATGGCAAATAGATTGATAGCCATTGACAAATGTCCCGGAGTGCGACCAATCGGAATTGGAGAATGCCTAAGACGAATCATAGCTAAATGCATGATAGTAGCATTTGGCGATGATGCAAAACATGCTTTAGGTACTAATCAACTATGTGGAGGCCTAAAATCAGGCATAGAGGGAGCAATACATTTTATGCAAAATGTTATGGATGAGAATTTTGATAATACAAATGAATGGTGCATGATATTAATTGATGCTGATAATGCCTTTAATAAAATTAACAGAGCAAATGCATTGTGGCAAGCAAGGCTACATTGGCCAAGAGCTGCCAGATTTATTTACAACACTTATCAATGCAACGCAGACTTGATAATCCCTGGAACTAGTAAAAGACTATTCAGCAAAGAAGGTGTCACCCAAGGTGACCCTTTATCAATGATTTTGTATGGATTAGCAACACTTCCACTAATTCAGGAATTAAAAAGAATGCCAGATGTTTTCCAGACATGGTATGCAGATGATTCATCTTGTCAAGGATCCCTTAATAATGTGATACAATGGTGGCAAAAACTTAAAGAAATAGGTCAAAAATATGGATACTACCCCCAAGCAAAAAAAAACCAAACTAATTTGGAACCATGATTTTGAAATTCCCAAAAAAGCTATGAAACAAATGGAGGGAATGGAAGTGGTTCATGGCAGCAAGTTTTTAGGAGGCTTTATTGGCTGCGAGGAAGAAAAGAAAAAATTTGCAGCAGAAAAGAGCAATGCCTGGACCCAGCGTGTTGAAAATATTGCTGAGATTGCTGAAAAACACCCTCAATCAGCCCATACTGTTGCTACAAAATCATTACAAGCAGAATGGACCTTTTTCCAGAGAGTAGTAAAAGTTGAACCAAAAATGTTCAGTCCAATCCAGCACACTATAAGAACATCACTTTTCCCCAATCTGTTTGGATTACAAGAAGGCCTATGTAAAGAAGAGCATGAATTACTTCATCTAACAGTAAAAAGCGGAGGAATAGGGATGGCTGATCCAGTTATGCAATCAAAACACATATATGAAACTTCAAAAAGAGGGTGCGACGTTCTATTACAATCTCTTGCATTAAAAACCTCTTTTGATTTAGTGAGCATGAAGATACTTTAAAAAAGACATTAAAAATCCATAGAGAACAAAAGAAAACTGAAGAAAACAAATTATTAAATGAAAATGTAAAATGTTTTTCACGACAAAGACAAAATGGGGGTATTCACGTGTGGCATAGCCCAATAGGATTTTCACAACTTTAATATCCCTATACGTTTTTCAAGACTATCAAGTACCTCTCTGCAAAATCTCTGCTCAATTGTTCCAGTATCAGAGTTACACATTTATAATATTAGTAGAATTTTATATATCCGCCAACTTCTTGTTTCCTGTTAAGAATGGAGATGATAGTTCTATAATTAAGGGAGATTTGTAAAGCCATTAGGTTCTATGTCAGTGTTAATTGATAAGTTACCATTAGTTTTGTTTAACTGGTTTCATATTCGTTTTACAGTTGACTAATCAGTTTGAAACATCAGAATGGGTAGTACCAGCAGTGCTCAATGGGTCAGGAGATTCAGAAGTGATATTGGTGCTTCCAAACTCGCATGGTGTCGAGGAAGTAAACTGGCCTTGCAGCAGCTACGGGTATGGCGCGGCCGGCAACATCAAGAGGCAGGACTTGGTAGTCAACAAGCATTGTCACTGCTTTGAGTGGGTGCGGTCGTACAAATCTCCAGTTGACATGTTAGTTTTGGACCTAAAACTTTATAAAACGTATTGATTAAAAAAACCTGGCATTTGCCAATTGATGTAGGATATTACAAAACGTAACGTAAACTTGAAAATAATGTAACAGGACAAGCAACAGTCGAAGTGGAACCGAGTATACACTATACAGGGTGACGATCTTATAACTTTAAAACGAAAAGAGATATCACAACCAGATTTGGCATATCATTACTGGTAATAGTAAGCTATTTTTCTGTGTCCGCAAACCGGACTTCAAATGGACAACCGAGTAAAAAATGGCAGCCGTTGAAATATTTCTTGAATCTGCCTTTTTGAATCTTTAAACCGATGCAATCTTTTACTCAGTTATGACACGCAAATGGGCTGTCTCACTTTTGTTCCGCGGTTGAAGGCTAATTTCTTCACATCACCTTTGTTCCGGGGGTCCGCAGGTAGATTTCGGGACCGGCCGAAACAACGCTTGTGTTCTGCGGACATCTCTCTTGTTTCGCGAGAGAGAGAGGCTGTGATCTCCCTCCCCCTAATCCTCTCTTTCGCCCTCCTCCTAATTATTTCTTTCATTTGGGCTTTAAAACTCGTTAAATTATAATTTTCTCCAAAAATATCAATAATTTAAATAATTTAACCAAACCTATCATAGCCTAGCCTAACCTATGAAAGAAAGAACTAGGAGGAGAGCGAAAGAGAGGATTTGCGGAACAAGAGAGATGTCCGCGTAACAAAATCTACCTGAACCCCGGAACAAAAGTGATGCGAAGAAATTAACCTTCAACCGCGGAACAAAAGCAAAATACGCCTCAAATTTGTGGCATTGCATTTTACTAATAAAGACATTTTTGATTTGATGTGCATATAAACCTATGCGCACATTTTGAATTTTCTTCCGTCTTCAACGGGCACCACCCTGAGGAGGAATAGGGCATTGCAAATATAATGAATCGTTTAACGGCTATAATTTTTGACTTGATATTCCATTTGAGGCCCAGTTTGTGGCATTGTTATAAGTTTAATAAGTCCTTTAATTTGATGTACTTATCATCCTATGCTTACCTTCAAGATTTTCAATTTATTCCCTATTCTATACCCAATAGGCCCTTCATAGCTGACATCCAATTGCCATGGACACACAAAAGTAGCTCACTATTATTACCAGTAATTATATGCTGAATTTGGTTGTGATATATGTTTTAGTTTTAAGTTATGTTTTAGTTATAGAGTCGTCCTATGACTTAATTGTCACTCTGTATATGTTTTCCAATGCTAAAAACCTGATATTTACCATATCAATAAGTTTGTTGTGACCTATCAATAGCCTATAAATCGAGAAATCATCAACGGGTTATACCAAGGCATTAAGTTTAGCTATGAGGAAGAGGTCCACCGCAAACCGGTGTAAAGTGAGGTGGAAATGTAATATATACATAAATGCAACCTCTGAGTGGAGCATGTGCTGGCCTCGTTCTCACTCACTATTAAACCAATCCATTTTCAGATTGAGGCATCGAAATATCTTCATGTGTGACCATTACGACAGTACGACTACGAAAGCCTTGAGTGCCGGGGACAGCGGCAGCCCGTTGGTGTGCAGCGGTGGATTAAGAGCTATCGGTGTTGCAGTCTTCCACTACTCAATCAGAGGGGATTGTATGGTAAGGAGCCACTTACTATAAACTGACCTTTTGTAGTGACTTTTGTAATAGAGTTTACCATAGAGGTAGTATTGTAAGTTTTTATTATATGTAGGTCTGTTGTATGCAGTTGTTATTGTCGTGTTTTCGTCAAGTCTGTGCCACACTAGCCTTTGCACTGACGATTCCTCGATCCCTTTATACGGTGTTTGTTTGTAAACTTGTGTTGATTTTGTCTAATTCAACTTTTTTTTGATTCTACAGATTATGAACGACAGGGAAAGTGTTAATTCTGAGTACATGAGCGTGTTTGTGGACTTGTGTTACTTCGGAGAGTGGTTACATTCTTTGGTGTGGTCATACCCAGTACTCGATGAACTTTGTGCTGTTGTTGATTATTAAACTTATCAAAAATTCTGGTCTCGTATGCATAATTTTCATGATAATTGTAATTTTTGAAAACCTTGACAAAATCTTAGTTTTTAAAGTTTTAGTGACAATTTATCGCACTTGGATGAATTCTTTCTATCAACAACGTAATATTATTTTATATATATATAAGTTTGGTAATTTTTTACCTCTAACCAAGGTGTGCTACTTAATGAAGTGGAAGTTTTTGTCAAATACACATAATTTCAGTACGGTAAATGTACTCTTAAAGTACTCTTCATTGGGAGTGATGTCAGGGTAAAATATTTTAATTAATAATAATAATAATGATAAACAGTCGGTGCAGGTTATCTATATCTATAATATTAAAACAAAACAGTGATTTTTTATTTCACGATTCTGAATCAACCACTCGACGGATTTTCATGAATTTTGTGTTGAAAGAAAGATAATTTTGAGATCTAGGGAATGTCGAAGCCATAATTTTAGTTTTGGGTCCCAGTTTTTTAGAAATTAAGTTTTAATTTTTTAAAAGTCTAGCAGCCGACGCTAAGATTCTAATCTAGCTTTTGGCATAAAATAATTTGCTTAACATAACAGCTGTAACACATTCAGCCTTTGTGACACAAATTCAGCATTTGGATAAAAATGTAAAGACATACATAGGATTGACATATTTATACTATGTGTAATGCTAATCATTGATACGTTCAATTCTTCTGTAAGAGGATGGTAGATTAATTAAATATACATAGTAAAAAATACTAGGATGTTCAAATTATTTTTTAAATCAATCTTTTTAATCTTCGATTTGTTTTTGAGCAATATAATTTGTTTTAACTAACAGCTGGTTAAATATAAACTTTGGAACTATGAGGTTATTTTATTTACTCTTATTTTGTCATTGATTATAGGAAATAAGTAAGACTAGTGTACATGTTGCTCGAATTCGAGCAATTGCAAAGTATTACAGGAGTTATTTCAAAACGAATAACAGTCATATTTACAATGAGTTTAAAAGAGTCAACTCAAAGATTACCGGTGTGAAACTCAGACCATGTTTATCTTCGTTATTGATAAACCTAAAGCATTCCGGCCGGTTTTCTCCTAAGAAGATCAAGAATAATCAGGAATCACGATTTTAAATTACCAACACAACCTCAGCCGGGTTTTATACAAAGATAAACAGATGGATGACATATATTGAACACAACGTCAACATTGACCTAGGATACTGCAATTAGACAAACCATCCTTTTATGAAATCGTGTTCAGTTGTGGTTACGTTTCGTTTTGGGGTGCCTATATCAGCGCCCCCAAATGTGAAAATATCACTTTTATTTCAACTATGAATATATTGTCGTTTAAATTAACTAATATGGGAAATTACGATGTACATTTATTCAATGAGGATGGGTAATTATCAAGGATAGAACTGATAACGGTATGGATAATAAACATTGACAATTAATTACGTCATTAGCTTTACTAGCGTGTTTACATTTTATATTCCTGCTACATGTGACCCGTTCTTTTTTTTCAAATGAATGTTACTAGTGTACCTGTTGCTCGAATTCGAGCAATTGCGAAGCATTACAGGCGACTCAAAGATTATGGAAATACTCACGATCTACACAACAGTTAGATATGATCAATATCTTTTGTAAATATCTTATCTTTTTTCAAAAAGCTTATCTTGTTTTTTAGTGTTTTCTAAAAATTTTCCCCTCTCATAGCCGCATTAGGTTGTCTATGACAACGATTATAAATGAAAAAAAATTATTTCTATTTCTTCTTCTTGGTTGTGTTCTATGACTTTTTCTATGTTTCCATTGTTTGCAAATTGATTATTTTGATGATTGCTCAAGAAATGTAGAACAGTGTTAATTCAGTTTTATTTTTAGCCTATATCAAATTGGCCAGGATTTCTCGCTCTTTTCCATTGTAATAATTACACCAACCCAAGTTTCGTCTACAGATGCAATACGCTAACGAATATCACCTACGGTCAATCACCAAGAAGTGGTAAATAAGGCAGAAACCAACCAATACAATAGATATAAGTTAACTCCAAAAGGAATAATTTTAAGAGTTACTGTGATATTAGGATTTTCCACTGATTTGGTAATAGGATGCATTGCACGACGTCCAAGTGCCACGACGTCCAATAATATTTATTCAGTGCCACGACGTCCAAAACATAATTTTTGAGTTGTTGCACGACGTCCAAGTGCCACGACGTCCAAGAGTACAGTAACTGCCAAAAATATAGTCTTTTTACAAGCTTTGGACGTCGTGGCACTTGGACGTCGTGAAACAGCGCACTATAGAATTGTAAAAAAGTAACATTTGCACGACATCCAAAGTCACTGCCAGTTGCACGACGTCCAAGTGCCACGACGTCCAATAAATATTTGACTGTTGCACGACGTCCAATATAGCTCAGCGCTGTTGCACGACGTCCAAGCTCCTTCATGATGACCGGTTACGATGACCGGCTACTTGCCAAACAGTGTTTTCTTGTGTAAAATGCTTATGGAACCTTTATTAGTTATATATACATGGGTATATGTTCTTGTTTAGAAATATATATACTATGAATATTTGTACCATTAATTGAAACATCATAAAGTAAAAAAAAACATAAAAAGAAAAAATAAACAAGGCAACAGTTGGAAAACTATAAGGTTTACATGGTTTGAAAAATGATGACATTTTGTTAACAACCGATAAACTTCATTATGTTTGGAGTAAGCTTTTAAATACTTATTTTTTCAAGACTAGATGAATGTACATTGATCAACATGATCTTTGAAAACTATTTTTTATACCCTCATTTTAATTTTTACTAGTATAAAGAATAGAATGCCTTTTTCGAACTGTTTAGACTTCAATTAAATGTTCTTATGTCGCAAATATGTTTATTAATAGTATTCACTTAACATTGACTTAATTTTGTTTTAATAAATTTTGTCTTTGTGTTTTGCTACACCACTGCAACAAAAAAAAACCAAAATTTAAATTTATTTAATTTAAATTGCAACCAATGAGAATGTCATATAAATAAGTTGTACACAGGGTTCTTTTGTTTCCCCAACTCTAAAATACAACGCACATGAAATGAAAATGTTATAGGTTTTAATAGTACTGTAGCAAATCGAATATCAATAAAGTTAACGTATAACAATAAATTTACATATTCCTAGATTATAATTGAATGTGTTTACGAAGGAACATCACAGCCTCAAAATTCAACATTACAGTATATTTACTCAAGATTTATTGTTTTCATATAGCACAGTTGATGTTGCCAACTAGCGTGGGAGCGGAAGGCCTGATAAAGGCTGGTTCTCAGAAAAGTAATAAACTTGTAGTTTGAATGAAACATTTTTTTATATTTTGTACAGGATTCATGGGGATGGGATCCTCAGCATAAAGTACAAACCACATACAAACTGCAAAATGTGTGTCGAAGGTCTGATTAGACCTTCCGAGATTTAGACCTTCAGCAACTGATCCGTTTTTTACCTTCCTTTAATTTATTCTTTTTCATGTTGTGCTTCATGTAACATACATAGACTAGAGGGCCGCTCATGCCCTTGACAAATAAATTAAAATTTTCGCACAAATACAAATCAATATCGTCATTAGACAAGAATTAAAAAATAAAATGTATGAACAAAACCTACCACGGCATATTCTTGAACAAGTATCTACAAACCTACGATAAGCATGTTTGTTATTATTATACTTAACCTACAAATGCTATGACTTAGGGCATACCTGCTTTCCTAGATAAAATATCCGAACTAATTGCGAGTGCAACGTGAACTTAGAAAAAGACTAGTAAGAATTTACAACTGTGAATTTCTCAGAATTGATTGACAGTTCAGACGAACCTATGGCCACAGACTACGGAAACCTACAGTATTATTGTATTAGTATACTGTATTTGTATTATTGTGTTACTAGCAGAGTACCCGTCCTTCGTACGGGGTTGGCATATAAGTATAAATGCTTATTGCAGGTATGGGAGAGGACACGATTTAAAAAAAAAATTGGTCTTTTAATTTATAGGTATCCTATAGTGTAGCACACATCTACCATAGTCCTGATGTTCTACCACTGCACCTAAACCATGGAAAAAAGTAAAGTTCTCATTGTGTACCACAACTTTTTTTTGCTAGTTGGTTCAAATTAGCTGAGGTCATTAATGCAAACAAACAACATAATAGTGCTGCACCCTGTTTGGCAAGCCTTATAACTTTTTAATGCTGTTTAATATCATAGAACCAACTTGTACAGTTGAAACGGCTGACAAAATTCTTTAATTTCTTTAAATATGAATACTCATAAGGTTAACATGAGAAAGTCTAGAGCCAGAACCACCGGGGTGGAGACTGAAAGAATTTTTGAGGTAAGAATATGTTAATCGGGGATGTCATCTATCATCATACCAAATTTCAACCTTGTCGGTTTAGTATTTTTCGCGTTTGCTTGTCACAAACATCCATCCATCCATCCATCCATACATCCATACATCCATGGTTTGCACTGTAAACATAACGCTATCACAATAGTTCCAAACCGACAAATAGAAAAATAGGAAAATATAAATAAATATGAAAAATAGGGTAATTTTCTAACATATTTTAGTGAAATCAGTTTCAATCATTTGAAATGATTCTAGTATAATCAGGCAAATGGAAATTCAGTCTACAGATTTGCTGTGGCAGGGGGATTATATTACGGTTTACACAAAAATAAATCTATATATATAAAAGGCAAAGCCCTCACTGACTGACTGACTGACTGACTCACTCACTCACTCACTCATCACTAATTCTCCCACTTCCCACTTACCTAGGAGGCTGAAATTTGGTACACTAATGATTCTTTAGGCATTAAATAGGAAAACTAAGTGGTTTTTATTCTGATCGGACTCTCGGGCTACGCCCCAGTGGCTCTGGAGTTTCCCATGTTAACCTAATGAGTACTCATATTTAAATGGA